GTCGTCGATTGTGGTAGTTGGTCTTGGTACTTGGTTGTTGTGGGCCAAAGCTCCTTTGGTTCTTTTTCACTGCGTCTGCTAAACAAACTCAGACCATCAGGCCAGTCTTAGCTGCATGCAAAGGCCCTAACTTTTTATCCTTGCATTTCCTGTTCTCTGGATTCCTTGTTTTGCATTAACCCTCTCCGTCTACATCCATTTGGCTGTGCACTCATTATTGGGCCCACAAACCAGGTGCAAGCACGTCACATCGTATTCGGCTTTGGACTGACCTGTTCTTGTTCTCAGTTTCTTTCTGCGTTGTTGAAGCATTCTGCCCGGCTTGGTCGTAGGTTTGGAGGGACTGCTGTGCGTGCTTGTGCGTGACAACATTCGTGTTCTCTAATTACTCTAGCTGCCTGACCCTCCACTCGGCTCTGGCTGTTGGGAGTACCAGGCATAATATGATGTAGAGGCCGCCCCCGAAGGGTCTCCTAATTTTCAAACCCGGAGGGGGGTTGGGGGTGCCCACCTCTACCTTCCCACCCAGGGCCGGGGGGGGGGGGGGGGGGGCCACGACTACTACTACTTCCTCGTAGCACAGGATGCTTCTTTGTGGCCCTCGTAGCACAGGATCCTTCTGCAGGGTTTCGTAGCACAGGATCCTTCTTTGAGGCCCTGGTAGCACAGGGAGGGGAGGGGCCACGACTACTACTACTTTCACACTTCGAAGTGGAGGGGGGGGGGAAACGACTACTACTACTTTCTCGTAGCACAGGATGCTTCTGTATGGCCTTCGTAGCACAGGATCCTTCCTAAAGGCCCTCGCAGCACAGGATCCTTCTTTGAAGTCCTCGTAGCACAGGATCCGTCTTCAAGATCCTCGTAGCACAGAATCCGCCCCCCCGCTCTTTAAGGTTGGCCCATGCGGGTCGGGATGCACTGCACCACAAAATCTGCATCTCGTCACCTTCCCTGCGCCTGCCTCATCAGCGTGACAGTAGCAAGCTGCTGCATTCGACTCGTGTCCGCGCATCGTCCGCCTTCACCTCTCGGGCCACTGTGTGGTTCCCACGGGCAGCGCCCGCTTGCTCTCACCGCGCGCCGCTCCCAGAGGCCGAATGTGGTCGGTCCGTCGGCCAGGGGCGCAGCCCCCCCCCCGCTCTTTAAGGTTGCCCCATGCGGGTCGTGGTCGTACTCGCCACCCCCTCGTTCAGCCACGGCCCGGCGCATGGCTCTTGTGGGCCCCGCCCCTCCTGTGGTTCGTTGGGATATGAAATAGAACCGGAGCCGATGACTGACGCACGACGCCCGCGTGCTCTCGCCGCACTACTGCACGACTCGTGTCCGAGCATTTGCCTGGATCTCTCTGGAAACCGCGTCCTTTCCACGGACAACAAATCCACTGCATAGCACCGAGGGCACCCCCTCCCCCGGGGGATGGCCACGACTACTATTACTTTTCTAGAAGAGGGGGGGGAGGGACGACTACGACTACTTGTCTCGTCTCAATCCGGGG